TTATAAATCTTAGAATGTGAGAGAAAAGGCTTCCCATTCATTCCCATGGATTCCCATTCGTCTTCAGATACAAAAGAGGGAGCCCGCTTTCTCGCAGTTTTTAAAATAGGTGTACATGTTTTCAGAATCTCGCTTGGCCCTTCACTAACCACTTAACATTAAGCAATCTGGATATTTTTAAAAATATAACTGTTCCGCCAGGTTACGTCTTCATCGCACGATAATTTGACATTTCCCCAAAACGGATAGATATCCCAAGGAGAGTCACTTAACTGACCACGAAGATCACTTGACTTGAATCATCAAATTACACTTACTTACATTTAAATAAACTTTACAAATAACCGCGGTTATCGGAACGTCTAAATAGGTGAAATGTGTGCGAGTCCATAATGTAACCGTCCCACTCCTGTTTGCTGTTGGAGTTGCCCGGCTCGGTTGCAGTCTTGTCGATCTTTGTTGTATGTGAGGTAATTCGGGATTTCTGCTCACGTAGGCATGGAACTTTTCTCAGGGAATATTACATGGAGGGGTATAAGCTGAATGCCAGCGAGGAAGGTTTCGGAAATGTTCTTGAGATTCCAGTTCGTAATTTCACAAGCACAATTTATTTCTTTTACAATTAATATTTACTGGCCGAATCGAGCACAAAACAATTTAGGATGTTGCTTCCTCTGAATTCCAGAAAAGAGTGCCCTTCAAGAAAACTTTCCTGTCCTTTAGTTATAGGACTCCCCCCCTTAACTTTCACAAAAATTTTATGTATTTGGGCAGTAATGATGCCCTAGCTCACGTCGACCATTAAAAAAACCTTTAGCCGGCGGGTGCCCCCTGCAAGAATTTTGGAGGTCACACGGTGCCATAATTCTTTCCTTTACCGTTGTTGCTTGTGCAACTTTCTTTTCTTTTCTTTTTATTAAGGGTCAGTGAGCCTTCTGCACTGAATGCAGAGCACCTACCAATAAACTGAACCCTGGCCTGAAAAGGACGCACTTGCCTAACAAGTGAAACGCGTAAATCTTTATTACTTGTTTCCAATTTATTTTTATTTGCGCTTCACCGGGACTCGAACCCAGAACGCGCGGTCACAATAACGAGGCATTAGTAGCCACCAAGTGGGGAAATATTAAGTAAAATTTAATATATAATATTAATAATTTGTGCGTTACAGGTTTATAAATATTAACATTAATTCGAATAACTTTCTATATGTTTTACATATTCAGAAGCATCATAAATTTCGAGCAGTTAATGAAAACGCAGAGTGCTTAAATTACCGGAAGCTCTGAAACATCCGTTGCTTGATTTGATTAAAACAAGAGAACGTGTGCGTATTATGTGTAGTTTAGCCCCGCCGAGAATACAATGGATTTTTTTTCAAATTCTGTGTTAACCAATATACTAGTTGATTAGATAAACTGACGAAAGTTTGACCTAGCATTAATTTTTAAAATACTGATTTAATTTAAATTGTGCAGGGAGCTCTTTTTCTGAGAATAACGATCCAGAGTAAAATTAACTATAATTTTTAATGTAGATATGTTTACATTAGATTGGTTCTATAATTAACCTCGAAAAGTTTACAGAATTTTCGTAAAGACATGCGAATTAGTTTTAGCATGGACATAAATGTACTTTTTTGATAATGTGTTGAAAGGTTAAATGAAGCTTATATTAAATCATATTTCAAGATTACTGACGAATTTTAGCACAAGAATACTAATCAGAACGTAAGTGAAATTTTGAAATAAGTTAATGCAAGAATTTTCGTTTCACAAAATTTATTTACTGCCCTATGAATTACGTCCCAGCACCTCCATTTTTAGTTAGACCTACACTACCTTATTTTCAGTCTATAAAAGATTACAACATACGTTAGAAATACGTGTCACAATATTGTTAATATTTCCGTGTGTTTTTAAATAAATATGATAAAATTAGCACATAATTTCATGTTTACCTAAAATTAGTCTATTGATTTCTATAATATTAATTTTTGGCGGTCTATTTCCCTACTAATAGGAACCGCCATAGCCCGTCAAAATCCAGAAATATGGTGTTTGTTTTTCTGCACTAATTACCATACTGCCAAATAGCATTATATACAGAGTAAGTGAAAAGTAGCCGCTCAACTTTGGAGAACTGTAACCGTGTTACCTGCAGCCAAAATGTGCTGATATCAGCAGATATCTGTAGAGTGTAACCTCAAGTTTCGTTTGTTTGTTGTAGTTCTTCACATTGCCGCTGAGAGCGCTTGTGAATTGTTGAAAACAATTGAGACTTATAGTGAAGTGGAAAGAGCACAATGTGTGTTCTGGTTCGAACCAACAAATTCTCTTCCGTAATTTTCAAAGATCGTTTGTTTAAGGCTGGGTGGTAAACGTGATCCTTAATGTATCCCCACAGGAAAAAATCTACTGGTGTGAGATCCGGTGAACGAAGTGGCCAAGCGATTGGACATGTTCGCCTAATCCACCGACCTTGGAAGTGGAGATCCAAACATGCCCTGACTTCTGTATGTAAGTGAGGAGGTGCACCATCTTGCCGAATTTGAGTTGCACTCTTCGTTTGTTCGAACCACAACACACATTGTGCTCTTTCTTCGCCACTATAAATCTGCATTTTGTTTTCCTCATTTCACAAGCGCTCTCAGCGGCAATGTGAAGAAATACACCAAACAAACGAAACTTGAGGTTACGTTCTACAGATATCTGCTGATATCAGCACATTTTGGCTGCAGGTAACACGGTTACAATTCTCCAAAGTTGTGCAGCTACTTTTGACTTGTCCTGTATATTGTGTTTGTTTATAACGAAAAATTTAGTTGACCGTATAAAACTTAGCTACAGTCGCCTTTTTATCTAGTGAAGACTTATCTACAAAAATTTGAATAAACACTTCTTATGCGGGCGTAAACAGTTACACAGAATTACGGCAGGTCCTTATTATAGAATACGTATTGTAATCGGGGAAACCTTACATTGATGTCCGTGCGAGCACTCCATTTCTATTGTCGGTATTTTACAGCTTGTATTAGTTTGACATATATGACTTGCGATATGTGGTAGTTTCTCATTTCTGGATTCTATTTTTGGTGATGTCTGGCATCTTTTTTGCGATCTATGACTTGCAAGATTAAGGACTTTCATATATCCCAATCGTTAAATTTTTTCAAAGTGTTTGCGTACTTTAGTTATTCTTTTGACGGAAGGCCACGTGTGTAAGTCATGATATTGCTTTCTCAGTTTTAATACTGGAAGTTGCCTTTAAGAGAGTAGATATGATACACGCGTGTTGGGACTGATACAGCAGTTGAGTTTTGTACGAATGAAGGTGCACAGCTTAGAGTGAGAACTATTCATTATTTTTGAAATGGTTTAATGAAGAAAACGATAGTGCGAGAGAAGTTTGCAGCACATGATTTGTATTATTTATAAAAAAAATATTTTAAGTCTGTATAACTACATATATCCGAAGGACTGCTTTGTGTGGGAGAGCCTGAAAGAAACGTTCGGACTGGACTGACGTTTAGACTCCAGAATTAACAATCTACCTCCATGAGCTGTCTTCGATCAACAGTCCGTTAAGCGACCCTTGAGACAAACATTCTAAATAGCTGAGCAAACCGGTTCGAGGAGGTGGAAAGGTTATAGTACAAACAAATTAACTGACAGCTAGCAAATGGTTTTAAGAAAAAACTTATTTTAAAAAATTACAATTACAATTATAATTCTGAATTCTTGATTTACCGATTCAGTCTTCTAGGTAAACCAAAACAGCCTCAGGTTTATGCTTCGTGGTTACAAATCATCAAAGACTCATTTCCACCGCCGAATATATTGCCCTTGTAAAGTGTAATCCTGGGATACAGAAATGGGATCATGTTCAAGCAAATTTCGCCTTTCGTTTCTGAACACAGTCGATTAATTCCGTTTCAGGTCAAGTGTACGTGTTTTGCTGCAGAACCAAAGTTAAAATCTAACCTTTATATTGCTGAGTTGCAATTAATGTATCAACATGTAATTTACCGTTTTCATTGGCAAATGGTTTCAGCATCCATATCTTCTGTGAAGTCGAATACCGAACTGCTTCTTATTTCCACTCACTTCCCTTGTCTCAATTCTTTTATTCTGTGTTTGTTTCTTACTCTCTTTCTCCTTTTCCTATTTCTTTCTCTCACTTTTTTATTTCTTTAATCTTGTACCTCGGAACAGAGTGGAATGTTGAACTACAGGGAGCACAACAATGAATTTTCAAGTTCCATAAAATACGGAGATAAGCTGAGCGTCTGTTCGCTTATCAAAATAAGTCATGCGCCACGGGACTTTATCTTTTGCATCTGTTTGTGTATTTAATCTGTTACTTAATTACGTCAATTTATGAAAGTCCGAAAGGAGATGCGAGAATTATTACGATTAACATAATTATATAATTCTGGTTGAATCTGGTCATAATTAAATTTTTATTACTTCTGGAACAAATGCAATTGCCAAGAAAGGGATTAAAATCAAGTTCAAATTTCACAAGTTTGTTTCTTTCATTTGCATTATTGTAAGTGGCGAATGATCAGTATATTTAGGTCGAAAATTTTCCCATTAATCAAACGTTTAAAGAATCTAAGAAAATCTGGAGCCCCATAAATTTTCTCATGCTACTTTTGATAGCGAGAAGGAAAATGAAGATATATGTAAGTAAGGAGAGACAAATTTAAACGTGTATCTTTTTAAAGTCGAACATTAAGAATCGACCGGTGGCATCCTTTCTTACCCGTATATCAAACCATTCAATATCGACGTCAGACTGCAGCCTCATGTTTTATTCCACGGTCGCCAAGTGGTTACGATTGTCATGTATCACAGCCTTCATTACCACCCAGCTACGAGGATCAACGAACCTCGAGGGTATGGTAAGGTACATGCATAATTCATGAACAATAATGGACTTTAAATCGAGTTATATTTTTCAAAATATTCAGCCTGTTTCAGACAACGTATGGGGACTTCAGTACCTGATGAGAGATATGTTGGCATCTATGCGCCCGTTTGGGGATCTGCCCCTTATCTTAAATCAATCAATCTGTGTTACAATTCAATGAGGTTTCCCAGGAGATCGGTTGTGTAAGTATGGAGATACGAAGCAAAGATTCTGAGACTCATTATGCTTCCATCAGAATATTCCAGATTATCCCTGCGACAATTATGAAGATGACTCATCTGAAAAGTTGCGCTCTGTATTATAGCAGAAAATTACTGGTGTTTCAGAGGAGCTTATTGCAAAATTAAAATGTTATAACTCTCCTGTTATCAACTCAGTTCCAGCGAAACTAATTCATGCATGTGGTAGAACACTGAACACAACAGTGAAAAGAATCAATTGTTTTCCTTATTCAAAAACAGTTGACGAAACTGAGTGCAGTTACTTACGAGGAATCTTCTGGCATGGTTAATGTCATTTATGAATAAGACTATCAGGGATGATCAATGTGGATTCCGCGTAATAAGTCTACTATTGATCAAATCTTTTTCGTGTATAATGGGTCAGTACACCAACTATTTGTGGACTTTAGGACGGCATATGAAACAGTCAGAAAAGGAGTTCTGTATGGCATTTTGATTGAATTTGGTATAACAAATAAATTTGTTAGATTAATTAAGATGTGTACGGATGGTGTGTCTAATAGAGTTCGTATAGGCAAATTGTCTGATCCGCTCGCATTGTACTATTGCCTAATCCTTTTTAATTTTGCTCTAGAGTAGGGGTTCTAAACCTTTTTCGCTAGCGTGCAACTAATTCTAGTTTAACACATTAAATGTTCCACTAACCAAATGTGCTCAGGGAAAACTTATTCATGTTAATATTATCTTTCGATTTTCTTGCTTAGTTCGTGTACCACTCAACATTGGCTCGCCTACCACCAGTGGTACACGTACCATAGGTTGAGAAGCGCTGCTCTAGAGTATGTCATCAGGACCCCTCAGGGACCCACATCAGTGGGTACGGGGACTGGCACCCCCGAGGTACGCAAGCTATCCAGTGCCTGGAGATACAGCTGGGCCACCCTACCTTCGGGGGCTGTAAATACGAAGGTCTGGTCCTCCAGGTTGGCGTTGGGCATGGGGTTAACAACAAGGAACTCGTTACGAAATCAGACGAAGCAACTGCCGGATGGGCTCATTCACGGCGGACTGGCAAACAGATTGTCTGTGAACGAGAAAGAATGGAAGAAGTTGTTGAAGAAGGTCAGGGCCCATACAGGGCTGTAGAGCCAATGATGATGATGTTGATGTATGTCGTCAGGAAGGTCAGAGGGATTCAGGAAGGGCTCGAACTGAATGGTTTACATTTTCCTATGCTAATGATGTCAATCTGCTGGGGGATGCGGTGGGTACCATACCTAAGAATGCAGAAACTATCCTACAGGCTACCAAGGAAATAAGCCTGGAAGTAAATGCAGGCAAAAATAAATACATGGGCGTAATACAGGACCCTAGCAGCAATGTCATTACTGGGGCGAAGCTGTTAAAGAATGAATTCTGTAAAGGCCCGTCACCAGAAATTCACAGGCGACAATCACATACTGATTGTACCGGTTGTGTTACTGCGATGGAGAAGGCAACGGGAAACCACTCCATTATAATTTCCTAGTATAATCAAGCATGGCAGAAACAAATTTCTATGCTGATCGCCAACATCCGGACCGGATAGGCACCTTAAGAAGAAGAATATAGAACCAACAACAGAAACGGCGGAACATAATTATTAGGAACAAATCATTTTAAAATATTTCAAACTGTTAGCACTCGAGAACAACAATAACAAATAGAAGTGATTTCCATGATGAAATTAAGAGTAGAATAAATTCTGGAAACTCTTGTTTTTATTAAATTCAAAAACTGTTATCATCTCGTTTCCTATCGAAAATACTGAATGTCTGGTTTATGAAACAATAATTATGCCTTCTGTCCTGTAGGGTTTTGAAACCATTTATTACCTTGAAGGAAGAACGTAGATTACAAGTGTTTAGAAACAAAGTGCTCAGAAAGATAGTTGGACCTTGGAAGGATAAAATAATTGGGGAATTTAGAATAATGCATAACGAGGAGCTACGTAAATTGTACGTGTTACCTATCATAGTGAGTTTAGTGAAAGATCAAAAATATCAGTCGAACCTATGACTGCCGCTCCCCGCACGATTAAATCTAGTTTCGACCTTGATATGTTTATAACCATGGACTTTTTGTCAGGCACAAGTGTACACATATATGAATGTTCTCATCATGTGTAAGTGTTGCAATTGTTGATTGTTGTTTTCTGGCTTGTAACGCCGTGGTTACCATCGTTGGGAAGGAAGATTTCTCCTCCATTTACCCGGATCATTAGGGCGAAACGTTCCTCCAAATATTTGTAAACCAACAAGGCTCCATTGTGTCAAGCTCCAGAAATCCAGTTCCTACCCAGCACTACAATGCTTACAAAATTGTAAGGTATTGTAGATGCGTCATATTGTGAATTAATAGTATTAAAATATTTAAATATTTAAAAATAACCGTCAATCACAATAAAATTAAAAGATTAAAAGATTAAAATATCATATTATGTTCCCTATCGAGTACTCGATTTACATATGGAACTTACACAACATGTTTCGGCTAAATGTAGCCATCTTCTGGTGTATTATATATAAACTTTTTACTGAATTACTTTTTACGATTTTAATGATTTTTCTTCTGATGTTTTGTCCTTTATATTGATTCACCATT